GGGGGGGGGGGGGGCATTCCCAGGTTGCATAGCGCCAGGTGGGTGGAATGTGTTCCTGTGGTGTTTTTACTTTCGTTGATGACATAAACTGAAACAATGAGGGTTGCTCCCTTAAAATTATATACTTCAACATCTGTTGAAATATTTCGAGCAATATAATTGTATATCTTTTTCTATTGACAGACGGTATGGCGCGTAAGTTTCCATAGTATAGCGTTGACTGTAACATTACACACCACATGTTCCATGTTGAAAAGAACACAAAAATTAAAACCCATAGTTAGTCAATTAATGTTGAGCCCCAACACCTCAAAACACACAGAAAAACAAGCCGTTTAACGTGAACAAAATACCTTTCTGCGCTATGCAACCTGGGAGATTTTACCCCCCCGTCGCAATGCATCGTGGGAATGCGAAAACGTTGAATGGTTTTTACCGTCTCATCGTGGCACCGCCAGGTACGACTGAATGAGGACACTGACGTCATGTTTGTCCAGCTGTGCTTTAAAAGGTGTTCAGTACGGGCACTGCTGCACAACGTTGTACAACAACCTGCAACAGAGACGTCGACATTCAGCATTTTCGGGCGATTCCCAGGTGCAAGGAAGCAGACATCGCAGAGCGGTAAGGTTTGCTTTAATACTATGTTATTTACCTACCTGGCTCGAGTTCAAGGTATCCACCTGGCGTATCAATAGAGAATGACATGCACAGTGTTGAATGAGTGTACATTGTGTATATGGACAGACAAAGCCGCTTTGACATGTGCTTTATGTGACACACGGTTTTGAAAGTGCTTATGATGCCAATATATAACATGTTATGATAAGTGATTAAGTACAGGGTCTTTCGTAAGGTTATCTTCAACTATAGGTGCATAAAGGTAAAATATTGTTTTAGGATAGTAATAACGAGTATATCAGTGCCAGTTTAACCACGTTTATGTAAAATTTCTCACTCTAATGTATTTACCTATTTGCACAAAACTGATTGTCTACTCGTAAAATATATTAATTTTGAATTTATCTACAGAATGAAATGTATCAAACTCGTTGATCAAACTGGAAAGAAGGGCGACTAACGTTTGGTGTTTATTATTATATTCTGTACAGACATGAGTAAGGAGCGGCGTGTCCTGCAGTATGTCCTACAGACCGCGTCACGTGGAGACCCTGACAGCGTGCTGGCAGCGGTGGACAAGTACGGCCGGGAGAAGGAATGGAACATGAGTGTCGGGGACGAGAAAGGTCAGTTATAGAAGTAACGGTTTAGCTGGGCGATAGCCTGAGGCGCCAAACATCGTTGGCTTGGCTAAAATGCTTGGCTAAAATAAAATTAACACGCCAGCTGTAGCGAAGCCGCATCATGGATTACCACGATTACCTCACCTTACTTGTATCGTAATCAACCAAGCCCCACTGTGGGATTGTCAACTGTTGACCTTTGTATTCACTTATTTATTTGTGTGGCAAATTTGTTTTAGTTAACCCTCGAGCCACATGGTCGCCTCCATCTTCGTAAGTGGTAGTTTTAGCATATAGAGGACAAGGAAGGAAAAGAGCCTGTCGCAGCAATGGTTAAGAACTGTTAGGAAGTCTAGATCTAAACTTTCCTCGTCTCTCTCGACACGTATATATCTTTGTTCTGTCACTAGGAGCGATCCTGGACCGTTTCGTGAAGGAGAGGGCGCCTCAGACCATGCTGGAGCTGGGCACGTACATGGGCTACTCCGCCGTCAGAATGGTCAGGCTGCTGCCGCAAGGAGCCAAGTTTATCACCGTGGAGGTCAACCAGGACAACGCCGCTGTGGCGAAGGAGATCATCGCGTTTGCAGGGCTGCAAGACAGGGTAATGCCAACATTCCTGTCCATTTGTATTTTTGTATTCTGTTAATTCTTTTAATGGTGTGGAGAAAGACCTTGCTTCGGAGGAGACACGAGAAAGTATGTTTGACTCATCTCCACGCAGATAATTCGGTAGCCGCAAAGACAGCATCAAATTGGCCAAGCAGTATCCATTGGCCAGACAGTATGTGGTGGCCAATGAATACTGTCTGGCCAATGGATACTGCCTGGGCAATTTGATACTCTCTGTCTCTTTGCCGCCACCGAAAGATCTACTTGTAGATTGGGTTTGACGAGCATCCTCTCGCAAGATTGTGACAGTGGTTGTTAAACATTTGATCTCTGTGTTTGTTACCCTTGTTCAACATTCTACAACGTTCATGTTTATATATTTCCATACTTTGTTTGTTTTGTCACAGATTATCCAGGTTCTAGCCGAAACTGCTGAAGTCATCCCCCAGCTGAAGTCCAAGTTTAACGTGGAGTCGTTTGACATGGTGTTTATAGACCACTGGAAGGACTTCTACCTCAGAGATATCAAACTACTGGAACAGAACAAGCTACTACGTAAAGGTACTCATCTCAACACAAGCCAGTTTGGGACTTAACCAAATTTTTGGTTGACTTCACGGAATAGTTCCGTCCATTTGTGGTATATAACCTGTAGCTTCCCCCGTCTCGGGTCAAGGCTGGTCGGTGAGGTCTGATGCAAAGCGCCAAATACAAAATCACTTAGGAGACGTGGAACTAGCAACTAGTAACGTGCTCGACTCAGAACTAAGAGGTCCCGAGTTCGAATCCTGCCATGCTACCAATCTTGTGCCCTTGAGAAAGGCACTTTCCTCACTTCACTAAGGTGAAAAGGAGTATTATCCTCTGCGTTGTTTGAGGCATAAAAGTGTTATATTTGAAAAGAAAAAACTGTGTTAAATGTTGGAAAAGAAACAAGTAACGTTAGTTGTCAAACAACGTAAGAATGAAATTGACTTAACAGAAAATGGTTTGGCCCTAAGCGAGCTACAATTAAATCAATCGTTTTTATTTTCTAAAAAAAGTCTATTTTCTATTTCCCCAGGCACAGTTGTAGTAGCTGATAACATCATCTTCCCCGGGGCTCCAGACTACGCAGACTACGTGCGGACATGCGGCAAGTACGAGTCTACCTTCCACGAGGGCAAAATCAACGGCAAGAAACCAGACGGCATGGAGAAGTCTGTGTACCGAGGCTAGGGACAGAACATTGCAAACACTGCATGTGGAGAATGGTCCTTCATAAGTACTACATGTATTTCCAGGCATTAAGTTGACCACAACTCAATGCATTTTAAGAATGTGCTATATTGTGTTGATTCTAATGCAAGTATGTGCAATTGGAAGTTCTGCACAAGGTGTATAATGCAGAAACGAGAGTTAACTATGTTGCGCATTGAACGTCCTGTATGTCGACAGCAATATGTAATTAGATACAGTAGTTATTACAATTCTAGGACTTACTGTGAACAATTTGCCTAGTTCTAAGGAAGACTTTCAATAGATCACATATTTCTTAGAAAAGCGATGCATATGTTTTTCTTAATCTATTCCCTTGTAAGACAATTTGATTTCACCACTTTATAATGTACTGTTCTTAAGTACAGAAAAGTGTAAATTCAGCAATTCTTGATTTTGTAATATTCTACTTTACATTGTTCACGCTTTGCTTCATTAGCTAAGAAAAATCTGAATAAAGAAGAAAACTTTAAGCTGAAAAGTACTGGCTTTCTTAATGTGCAAATTTGACCTTAAGGCATCTTTCCCCTGTAGGCAGAATAGGAAGACTCAGTGTTTTCCTTTTCTCGCAACTGTCGTTCGTCGACGTCACACGTTCAGACATGACACTGTGCCCACCCTTCCTGTGGAAGAAATATAACGGCATGAAGGCAGACTTCTCATAAAATTAGTTTCTCTATATGACAAAGCTAAGAACAGTTTACAGTCGTCCATGATAGAGTAAAATTACGTTTTGACAGTGTAGTTCAAGTACAAAGTGGGCTGCAACACTGGTCCCTGTACTAAAAATGACTTGAACAGACCGTGGAGTTAAAAGAGTACAGACCAACTAGATTTTTTTTCCACCGGAGACACTGCAATACCTTACCGTGGCGCTGGGAGGCCTCGCTGCACAGTCTGGTGAATCTGCCGCTCTCCACCAGCTTGTCGAAGCCCTGGTTCCAGTACACGGTGAAATTGTTGTCCTTCCGGGTCATCATGGCAGCTGCGGAAGTAATTTCATCATTTTTGTAAACACACCTGTCATTGGATCACAGTTGCTTCAAAGCAGGACAAAACAAAATACATTTTTGTAAACACACCTGTCATTGGATGACAATTCACAACCCAGGACAAAGCAAAGAAAGCTCATCCGCAAAAGCTGATTATGAATCAAGAACCATATGGTTAATTCAATTCAACTTTAAAAGTTATATTAGGCCATGCTGATTTAATTATATGTATGACATCCTCCCGCTCATAAATTTTCGTCCGTTTCCAAAAAAGTAATCGACCATACTGTAAATCATACAAAGCAGCTGCAAAATCAGCGAATATATTCTGTAAATTGCAACAGAAAATATATTGGAAAACGACACTCATGTTGTAGAACGCCAAAATCAAGTCAAAAGGAAAAGAAGAAGTATGTAAAGAAATGAAAATGAATAGTCTATTATTCGCCACACCATACTATATACATACATACCACTAAGATATGATAATCAAGGCAACTTTTTTTGCTAATTTTTATTTTCATTTTATTTTCACACGCTCGCACCAGTTTTGGGGTTCCCAGAATACATATAATCAAATCAACATGGCCTTAGTGAAACTACGTCACTGTATGCACCCCCCCCTACGGCACTTGTGACTTACAGCCGTCCAGCATGCAGGTTTGCGGCGAGGTGGGAGACAAGATTTGAATGACGGACTCGTCAACGTATCCCTGTGAAATAAACGTGCCGGCTGCCCACCCAGCATCCACCTGTAAGTTAGACAAGTCATATTCAGTGTGATTTGTCGGACATTTAGTGCTGAATTTTCTATACAAGGGCCATGTAACACCCTATATTTTGGCGACGCCTCAGGGGCGAGCCTAATGGTGCCTTATTGTGTGCAGTCTGCAATAATTCTTGGAATTGTACAGGAATGCGTCCACAGGTATGTTTGTGTTTTAGCACGATAACTCAACCAGCTAAGGATGGATTTCTATGAAACATGGTAGGTGGGTAGGTCTTGGGAAGACCGCAAAATGATTAGATTTTGGACTCCTTAGCGGCTTGTTATGGTACTGCAGCAGAAGTTCAGGTTTTAATCTCTCATTTGAAAAGGCGAGTTACTTTACATCTTTGATTCTGTTTTTTTTCGGAGAAATGTTCTAATATCGTATACCACATTTTCTATTTAACGGGAACGGTAACAGCTATGATAACAAAAGAAGAACAAACTGAACAGTCACCTCTCCGGTGCTGATTTTCTCCTGAAATGCGTCGGTTTCGGTCACGTGGAGGATCTTATCCGCCGGTAGCACCGATCCCGTGATGCTCGACTGCCTGGCCAGGCACTTCTCGTCGTCCACCCAGCCGTCCATGAAAACTGCGGTGCGAGACGGATTCAGATTTTATTTCCAATGACATAGCAGGTACACGAATAAAATCAATATTACCTGAGATGCGTCATTGATTACAAAGCCGAAATTTACCAATCATAACTTTATGAGGCTAAATATTGTATGATATTGGTGTTAGCAGTTGAAATTTACCAATCTTCTTGCCAGAGACGTCGTTCACGTTGAAGTTTCCGGGGTTCCCCCTTCTGACGTAGAACGCCGGCGGGTGAGTCGGCAGGAAGGCCTTGGAGAAGGAGAAGGTTCCGTCCCGGAGACGGGTCCGGGACCAGCCGGTACAGGCGTCGTACCACCCGTTCATCAGACCTGGAGACATGCGGCAAAAGTAGGGTAACTATGGGGACTGTTTTGAGTTACTTTTCTAAGATTCTATGTTTCACTATTAGGAGGGTAGGTTAGGAGGGTAAGTTACATGAAGATCTGTAGAAGTTTCGCATTTTCCGAGCCTTGTTAATATAGAGCACAATCATGACCGGATTAAATGCCTCAGAAATATCTAGGAATTTCCATATGACGTATAGTACATGATGCTTGTATTCATCCCTTATACCAGTCGCAAGCTTTAAAAGCACAAATATGGCCCCGAAAAAAGAGCTCGAGATTGTTACTTGATGCCGCGACAGTTTTACTCCGACCTTCACCTCCATTCTTGACGAGACTCGACCACAACGATTTTTATGTCGCGTTGTTTTCTACCACCAACAAGACAATTGAATTTTGTACGACAATTTTGTACAACTTTGAACGACTTTGCTAGGAATATGCCCTCAGATTGCGATCGATCGCTCGACAAATGCATGTGCCCAGATCCTTACCCTGCCCTCCCTTGCCGTGCTGGCCGGCCTGGGAGTCCCAACAGTTCGGGTAGGAGTCCCACACCGTGCGGCAGTTCAGTCCGGCCGCCGCGCACACCTCCCGGATCAGGTCATGGTGGTACCCCGCTAGGTTTCCTTCCACGTCGCTGTATGGTAGATTGAAAAAAAATATGGAACCCATAGTTATGTTGTGAATAACGTTTTGAAAAATGCCACAATCACAAATGATACAAATCGACGTGGGGTCGTGTGGTGTAGCGGCAGATTTCTCGACTCGTAACCAAGAGGTCCCGGGTTCGAGTCCTTACATGCCACCGATCTTGTGCCCTTGGGAAAGACACTTTATACTACTTTCCTCACTTCGATCAGGTGCAAATGAGTATTGTATTGTCCCCTGTGTTGGTGGCGGCATTAATATAACTTAATATAAGTTTAAAACAAAACTTGAGTGTGACGTCGCCACGTCTTGTGATTATATGTTGGAATATAAAAAAAGAAGAAGAAAATCGACGTGGTCTTCAAGGTAAAGATTTAAAAATATTTGGCACAGACAGCCAAACTATAGCCGCGGATCGCTGGAAAAATAGTAGAATCAAGAATTCTGAGATCTCATACCTCCATGAAATATGAGTTTATGTAAATGATTTGTTTCATTGAATAGGCAATTTGAACAATAGGAAGTTCTGCTGCAGTACGAAGGTCATCCACCAGGAGGCCCATATTTGACCTTGACCTTTGTCTTTCTAAGACCTACCAGCATACCAAATATCATTACAATCCATGAAGGCGTTATGAAGTTATGGTGCGGAAACACAGACACGCAAACACACAGACGCGCCAAAAACAATACCTCAATTTTTCATGGAGGTAATTAGCCAATAAAAGGGAATACTATACCAGCTGAGTATACCAGAGAGGGTACATGTTGCGATCCGCGGTACCTGGTAGAGTTTAGCCAAACTATAAAATCATCACCATTCGTGCAGTTGCGACGATGTTTACACATTTTTCCAACAAAGAGACGGTGTTTTCTACCCCATGTTTGACCCCTGAAGGTCGACGTCCGGGGGTATTGTCCTCGTCTCATGTTGCAGTTTACCGAGTCATCTCACGGTTGGCTGCGCCTATTGAATATGTTCCGCACGTATTCTTTGTCTCTTAAACGTCCATGGCAAAAACTTACACAGTAGTACCTGCCGTTAATTTGTTTTTTAGATATTTTTCAGTAGCGTCAGGTGGATGGAAACATCCTTACCATTCCTTCTACATGTAAGCATGGATAGTTGCATGATTGTACTATGTCTTTGCATAGTTCAGTGCTCCGTTGGAGTTTAACAATTATCAAATGCACCAGCAGGTGTCTATGTAATGTCGATGAAATATCAAGTCACATACTTAGTACCTACGGTGGTTATGTTTCCGCGTTTGTCGTCGTAGGTTTGAGAAGAAACGGGTGCAACAGTTTGATTTTAAACTGTGCCCTGTAACTACTTTTTGGCGTAAGTGCCCTGTGGTTCTTCTTAAAACTACAGGACGGCAAAATCGTCGAGGAAAACTATCCGTAGGATGTATGTAAACAGGGCTTGACTTACATGTACTCGTGTGCACCGTAGTCGTGCCCGATCATGATCAGCCAGGTCTTGCCGGCCGCCGGTCCGTCGTTGCCGCCGCCCGAGGTACCCTGAGCCGCCCCGATGTTGTACACGTTCTGTCGGTTCATGCTGACGGCGGCCAGCACGATGGCGATGATAGCCAGTAGGACGCAAAGGGCTCCCAGCAACATGGTGGGCAGATTCAGACCCGAGTCCTGCGTCTTCTGGGGCGGAATCACCGCACGGATATCGGCGGTACTCGCCGTTGCTTCTTCGTCAAGTTTCCTCATCTCGATCTGCAAGTCTCTTCCCTTTGATTCAAAGTTGCGTGTGAATCGTAGATTTGAAAGCCACCAAATCTGAGCAAAGCTTTTTCCAGCTAGTTAGCTGCGGTAAGACCTGTGCGTTTAGCCCAGGGGGAGTGGCAAAGAACACCAGCGACAAAATTTGTGCCGTGGGGGTCAGTGTCTGGTCGGTATGTGTCCCCTGCGTCTGTGAACAATACAAGGTCGTCAACAGACACCTGATACGCCCTACTCACCTTACACCTTGTTGCCTCACCTACATACACACCAGGCGTCCTGATACTAGTACATGCTGTTTGATACGCACGACCAGTCTACAAGGTCATGCATTGCGGCCTTTTTTGCCTTGAAGGACTCCTATCATTATTTCATTGGCTGATGAATACAACTGGATCAAGTGATGTGTGATACATAACAGAAAACACCACGTGTATTCTTAATGTCACTGCGACAATTCCCTACAAAGTTTGTCTCCCATTAAATAAACCTTCTCATCGAGGGATTTTTAACATTCGTCACACTCAGAGACTTATCATCTCAGTTAGAAATTCGTCATCGTGAATGGTTTAAGATTGTCACTGAATATGTAGAAAATCTGTACTTATGTTTAGACTTGTTTATCAAGGTTATAAGAGTACGTTTGTGTGAGAGAACCAGTTATACAATACAATGGGTGCATAAAAAGTAAACGGACATGAAACGAATTCATTGTCAGCCATACGGTTGATGTAGAACAGTTTAATCACAGGCACACATGATCACACATAGAATCAAGTCACAGTTCAAAGACTGATAAAAGATAAAAGGAATCTATTGAAAAGGAATCTATTGAAAAGATCCATACATTTTGATAGGTCACCATGTTTCAATAATGTAAGGTGATCACACGCTGGTTATGCTTGTCAACGAAATGTGAAGCTCTACGTTGGTGAATTAGGAAGCATAACTGTGGTCATCTAACCCTGGCATCATAATGTTGATGTTCCGTAGCTAGGCTACAACAACAATATCATCCTGGATTATTGTTTAACAGTAACTGATTTAGGTGATTTTTGTATGGTTCATGCATCTTAACCCAGCAATAACTTTGACATGTTACGTAGTACGATAACCTCAATAAGTACTAAACATTATCAGCACATTTACTTCAGAATAACCTTATACAGTGTATATCGGACTTCTTATCACCAAAATAAAATGAGTCATTTGAATCATCATCATCATCATCGTCCGGCTGCGGAGAAGTCGACCAGTCATTTGAATGAACACATGAAATTTAGCAAATGAAGATGTCCACACACAACTAAAAAGCAAAGAAATGCATCAAGGAGAAGATGTAACATTTTCTGCGATGAAAATCCTATAAATATATATATAACTTAATTCGCAAAATCATGCCCGAAGTCTAATTGCTTTTACAATCAAGTATACTACTCATTGCAATACAGTAACAGGAGACAGGTAACAACTGTCTGGAAAAAAACTTCTACTTCTACTACTACGCTAGCTATTATGGGGTTCGACTTCTTCTTTGAAGGCAGTGGATAATGAATAGTCCCACATTCTGCATAATTAGTGGGTTTTGTGATCTCAGTAGATATATAGAAATGCAGTTTTTTGGTGATCTTCTAAATGGCGAAAGGATGGAGAAATTGTTGTAACTGTCTGACATAATCTGTTTCTTCCGGTCTCATAGTGAGGACACTGGCTAACAAAATGTATTTCATTTTCCACTGCATTCATAAGCATTCCCTATATTTTTCCTCTAATATCCATGACTCTGTTGGGGTCTCTGATGCAGCAGTACCACACCATGGCGCCGGTCATGCCAATCCCGATCAGAACCTCCTGGATAACCAACGCCAACGTTTCGGTGTTCCAAAAGGAGGTTGACGAACCACCTAATATTTAGAAGAGAAAAATATGGGTATAAAAAAAGAATAATCTACAATACGTTTTAAAAAGATGAATACTAACTGTCTTTGCAATATAGTGTCCTGTCCCCTGTATAATGGTACGGTCCAAAAAGTGGTCGGTTATTTTTCAGGTTATGGTCTGATAACCGATGGGAAATGGAGCCCTCTGATTGGTCGACGTATGGGTACTACTACTACTACTACTTCTACTAGAACAGTGCCTTGAAACGCAAGCCTCCATGATGTACACCATAGGCTTATGTCATAAATCGGCACCATCTCCATATTTGACATCATATGGAGGTGACAATATTATTGAAGTTTTTTTATTTTTGGTAAAAAGTCAGGCTTGATACAAATGATCATAGAAAACTGCATGCCAGACTATATAAAATCCAAATCTGCTATTTCATATAATGTAGCGATAAAAAGAGCAGGTAGTCAAAACAAGAAAGCGCTTATGTATGGTACATAAGACATCCACCATGATAAAATCCGTGCTTATGCGCCCTTTTAATGTTGTGCAAAATGAAGCAAATTGGGTTCCTACCGTTAGTATTTGAGGGCCCATCACACTGGTTGTGACAGTGCCGGGTGCCCTCCTCATGACTTGGGTTGCAGCAGTAGTCCCGGTACCTGGTGCGGGTTTGCTGGCCTGTTTACAAGCGATGTATGGTCGCGGCTTAGTCAACTATGGTAATGGACATTTACATAAGATATTTACGTGGCTACGTACTCTTTTGGGAGCCGTTGAAGACGTGCTAACCGGTGTAAAAGTGGGTGAAAAGATAAAATATTCTCTATATGAGATAGCAAAGCATTTAATGTAGAGGAAAAAACTTTACTTGTTAGAGAAGACGAAGAATATGTAAACATTAAAAAAATAGCCATGATATGTTGATTATTAGGTTCTTACCCTCCCCACAAGCCGGTGAACAGGAGCTCCATGGGTACCAGTTCCCCCACTCACACCGGCAGCACGGCTGTGTGTTACAGGACATGGTCTCGCTGTCAGAGCTGGGAGAACAGCAGGAGTCACGATGTCTGCTTCGAGTCATCGTTCCTGACATACATCGGGATAAAACAAATCATTACAGCCAGTATGCAAAGGCAAAAGGGTATCCAATAATGAGAATGGAGTCTTTCCCTAGCTTAGAAATGGCTCCTTATATCTAGCGAATTCGAAGAATGTATAAATGTTCACCTCCTCCACAAGTCTGTGTACAGTTACTCCATGGGTACCAGTCCCCCCACTCACACGAACAGCACGGCTGGGTGTTACAGGACGTAGTCTGGGTGTCAGAGCTGGGAGAACAGCAGGAGTCCTGATGTCGGGTTCGAGTCATCGTTCCTGAGGTAGATAGGGATAAAATCAGCCATTACAACTCATTGTGAACCAATAGTCGTTTTGTACAACTCGTGTCATCCTTGATCATTCAGCAAAAGTCTAGCGCTAGTTTGAGTTTTGTACATGTGGGTATATATATATCCTACTTTACCTACTGTATTTATGATAATTTTTACTGACGAACATACTTTATCCTGAAATTAAGTTTATTGGGGTGAAAGGTTTTTGTCGTCTCTGCCAACCTACCTTCGCCACATGTACGCGAACAGCTGCTCCAGGAGCTCCAAGGACGCCAGGTGCAGCTGCAGCAGCTGTGGGTGTTACAGCGGGTGGTCTGTGTCTCCTGCCTTGGAGAGCAGCAAGACTTCCGGGACCTCGTTCGCTGCTGAGTTCCTAGATTGTCCAAACAAGCCTACTTAGGCATTCCCACTAGGATAAAATTGTTGGGATTGAGCCGAATAGATTCGCTTTGATACGGCTTCGAACCGGCTCGACCCGGTTCCAAGGCGGTTCGAAGCCGGATGAAAGCGAATCAATGACTCGATTCGGACAATATTTCATCTTTGTGGGAATGGGGCCTTAGATTATTGAACGTAAACTACTGAGTCACACCATTTCTCAATGCGACCGTTGAATATGTTTATTACTGAAGTAAAAGACGTCAGACCAAGTTAAATAATACAAGTCCACACCGTTTTGACCTTACCTTAAAGCTGTGCGATTGTAGTGCAAAGCGAGAGCATTCTTGTATAAGTCGTGCATGTGTCATACAAAAATCAGCTTCCTGTTACCGACAAGGCTGTTTTAAATCTTTCTCAGCGGCTGGTTCTGTCACAAACTGCTAGCAAATAATAAAACCTAACGACGAATGTAACCGCGCCGTAACTAGAAAGAATGAAACCAGTGCTCACCCCCGCCGCACGACGCGGAGCATCCGGACCAAGAGCTCCAGCTACCCCAGGAGCAGGAGCAGCGACGGCGGCGGCGTCGGCCTAGGCGGAGAATACCGTCCCCTTCTGTCAGGAGCAGAGCCAAAAGGACCACGAGAAAAACGACTCGAAGACAGAACTTTCCCGAAGCCATGTCTGAAGTACAGGACAACCTTTCAGAAATGAAAATAGAAAATTTCCCAGCCTTTTAAAGGACTCACCATAAACACCGTCACGTTACCAAGGTGACCTTGGTAACGTGCTGTTGTTTATGGTGAGTCCTTTCAAAGGCTGGGGAATTTTTTATTTTCATTTCTGAAAGGTGAATACCTTAGGATCGTGGCATTTATTCAGCTGTGACCATGTGAAACTGCACCTTTAATTTTGCTCACCCCTTTGCCAGGGCCAACAAGAAACGTGTTAATAGACGAAAATTACAAAGTCAACAAACGAGAAAGGCTTCAGGCTTGAGGGAGTTACAGACATATGTGGGCATTCAAGCTCACATCGCGGTGCTGTTAGGTGCAATCCACATAGTTTACGCTGTATCGGCACAGCACAATATAATCTACGGAGTTGTATTTGAATGTGAAACAATGAGGAATTCTGCTTCAGCGATTGAGAAAGCTGGTGACTATTTATCAGAAAGAGCTGGTCGGGACTTTATACTTGTTCGATGTCCTGCTATGGCAAACAACAATCTAATCTGTCGGATGGAAGAAGGAATAGAAGATATCTCCTTCATCGGAGGTAAACATGACTTCCCGGTGACAGAAGCAAATGTTATCACTATTATAATGCTCTACTAGTTTTCTTTATTAGTCGTTGTCAAGGCACATCATCCATTGAAAGATCGTTTTGATATCAACACAGCTGATAATCGCGCTACAACACGGAAGTAAAATAGAATTATAAGGAAAGTACAGTTTTTGTCTCTATCAAAGTTAAATTTTTTTTCAGATTGGTATTTCTCAAAATGACAAAGACAACTAGATGACAGTTGTACCGGGAAATTATAATTCCAGCTGTAATTGTAAATTTAAACTTCAATGTTAACATTAATATGTAACAGTAACTTCAGTGACGTAAGAAAAAAGGGTGCTTAAAATTTGTAGTATGTCATTTTCTTGGAGTCAATTTGGCCAGATTATGTGTTCTCAAGTAGGGACGTGGAAAGATTAGGAAATTGTCAATATCTATGTCGTACAAACCTGAGAAACATTTGAAAATAAAAACTAAATCTAATATTTCGCGTCTGTATGATAAAGGTAAAAGTGAGCAAGTAGACAGCCTGTCTTTATATGTGTAATCAGTGGAGAAATTATTAAGAATGTATTTGGTTCTACGTCTCTGTACACTTTCCAGTCTTTCTATTAGTTCATGTGTATGCGGAGACCATACCGTGGAACAGTACTCTAGCTTACTTCGAACAAGGGACATGTAAAGAGCTTTTTTAACAGACATAGGAGCATGGTAACCTAATGACCGTTTTATAAAACCTAGTGTAGAGTTGGCTCTAGAGACGATGTTTTGGATATGAAATGTCCATGTTAATTGGCCGGTTGCAGAGACTCGAAGGTCATTAAATTCGGAGACAACCTCTAAAAACGTGTCTTCCATTTTGTATTGAAAGCGAATTTGATTTTTCCCCTACCAATGGTAAGTATTTTGCATTTGTCAGCGTTGAACTTCATCATTCATATTTTGCCCCAATTGTACATATTCTCGATGTCTTTTTGAAGAGAAATACAGTCAATAACAGTTGAGATATTTTTTAAAACATTTCGAATCATCTGCATATAATGCCACTGTGTTACTAACAACAGAGGGTAGATCGTTAATGAATAACAGAAATAAAAGTGGCCCAAGTATAGAACCTTGGTGGACTCCTGAGAGACCTGGTAGCAATTCAGAATGTTCATTCTCTACAATGACTCGTTGTCTGCGACCAGACAAATAACTATCGAACCAAGCAAGCAAGTTTGAGTGCACACCATACATTTTAAACTTGTGGACAAGAAGGCTATGGGAGACACAGTCGAAAGCCTTAGAGAAATCAAGAAATTCAACATCAACTTGGCCGCCGTTATCCAGAATGGAACCGATTGTGTGATAAATTTGAAGTAGCAATGTTGCTGTCGACCTGCCCTTAATGAACCCATGTTGAAGAGGATGAATTTGGTCTTTAAGATAAGGGAAGATGCGGTTAAACAAACATCTTTCCATTACTTTACTAATTATACTTAACAGAGAGATAGGACGGTAGTTTTCAACAGATTCCTTGCGGCCTTTTTTGAAAACTGGACATACATTAGCGTCTTTCCACTGTGCCGGCACCCAGCCTAGACGTAGACTTTTGTTAAACAGTGTCGTTAGCTGAGGTGCTATTTCCTGTGCACACCGACGCAGGATAACAGGGGATATTCCGTCGGGACCATATGCCTTAGCACAGTCAAGATTATTAAGTACATCTAATATCTCTTCATTCGTAAATACAAAGTACCCCAGATTTGGGTGTTGAAATACAGGTATATCAGAAAGTTGATGTTCAATAGTCGGCAGAGTAAAAACTGAGTGAACATATTTGTTAAATATATCCGCCTTTTCCTTGGGCGTTTTGGCCTCATCAGTACCAAAATTCATAAAACTAGAAAGACGGCTAGAGCCAGTTTTGGATTTAAAGAAAGACCAAAACTTTTTCGGGTTCCTGTGGACTTTGGTTCCAAGGCTACCCAAGAAAGCCTTGTACTTAGTTTTCAGCAGTTTTTGGAGGTCATTTCTTTGTTTCCTAAACTTGGCCCAAATGAGATGGTTTATTGGTCCTTTTGGCAAGTCGCCATGTTGTCATTTTTTTGTTACAAGCATGTATGACATCACCATCAATCCAAGGTGATGAAAAAGTATTCTTCACACAAATCTGAGGTATGAACAAATCAACAGCTTTCATCAACTCGTCCCCACCTTTCCCAAATGTCATCGAGAGCTTCATTAATCTTATCACATGAAAACAAATTAGCCAAGCTTGACCTCAGCGAGTCAAAGTCCCCTTTCGTATAGTTATAAGTATAACGTTTAGTACGGGCAAAACTCGGCCTATTTCGTGTAAACAAGTCAAAGTGTAAAATTGACAAAGTCATCAAACGAGAAAGGCTTCACGCTTGAGGGAGTTACAAACATATGTGGACATTCAAGCTCACATCGCGGTGCTGTTAGGTGTAATCCACATAGTTTACGCTGTATCTGCACAGCACAATATAATCTACGGAGTTGTATTTGAATGTGAAACAATGAGGAATTCTGCTTCAGCGATTGAGAAAGCTGGTAACTATTTATCAGAAATAGCTGGTCGGGACTTTATATTTGTTCGACGTCCTGCTATGGCAAACAACTATCTAATCTGTCGGATGGAAGAAGGAATAGTAGTAATGGTTTATTGTTGTTTCACAAACTTTACAGAATGGCAGAGCCATGGCACCAGACCATGGCTCTGAATTGATCTGTAATTAACAGAATCGTTCCATAAATAGACAGCATTCAACGCCTAAAACAAGATCACATATCAATCGAGTAATTAAAAGAATTACTTTAGGTTAAAATAAGTTAAAATATCATATAGTTTAAAACATTAGTACACTCGGCTAGGACAACATAGATTGAACATT